ATTTCCCTCTTGTTGCCCAGGCTGGAATGCAATGGCAGAATCTCGACTTACCACAACCTCCACCTCCCGGGTTGAAGCAATTCTCCTGCCTCAGTCTCCTATGTAGCTGAGATTACAGGCATGCACCACCTTACCCAGCTAATTTTGTATTTTTATCAGAGACGGGGTTTCTGCATGCTGGTCAGGCTCGTCTCAAACTCCCAACCTCTGGTGATCTGCCCACTTCAGCCTCCTAAAGTGCTGGGATTACAGGCATGAGCCACTGCGTCTGGACTTTTTTTTTTTTTTGCTAATTTGTATTTTATTTTTGTTAATTTAAAAGATAGTTAATAGAATATCAGGAACAGTGAACATTATCATTTACATAAATGCAAGAGCGTGTACATTTTCCACACACTGAGTACTGTCTACATTTTCTATTGATAAACTCTGACCACTTCTTCAGGCAATGCATGTACTTACTTATTATCATTAAGGATGAAGGTTCTAGAACCATCAGGAACAAGAGTCCCATCTTCACACAAGTTACTTAACTGTTGGGAGGCTCTATTTCATCTTATGTAAACTACAGATAATACCTACTCATCTCAAGGGTGTATCAAGGGTTTATGTAAGTTAAATTTGTAGAAAGCAGTTAGCATAGTGCCAGAAAGGGTCCAAGAAGAAATGGTACTTACTATGATATATTTGTATGTATATATGTATGCGTGTTAATGTGCTGTTATTAGCTGTGTTCACTAAAGGTTTTCTCCACCCTGTGATTTGCTTTTAGATTTTGGAATACATTTCATTGTGCACGTTCCATTTGTATTATTAATATAACAACATTTATTACTATTATTATCATCATCAGTTCAGTCACATCTACTGTATCCCTGATGATGACCATGATTCCTTTAATAATCATAAAACTCTCTTCCCTTCATCACAGGGTAAATAACCTATCACAACGCTATAAGTCTCCATCAGCACCCCAGGCTGCCCCTGCCAACTTACCAGATCTGCTGCTTTAGCCAGATCAACCATCATGTTAATGTCACACCCACATTCAATAATGGCGAGTCTGCGCTTTTTACCTGTAAGTGAAAAGATGAAATTTTTACTTTAAAAAGACCCTGAAAAAACTCTGAGCATCAACTCTAACTTTCATTTTTTAACTGCATCCAATAAAACACCATATACGTTTACAGGAGTGTACCAGAAGTTCATAATTACTGCTAAAATAAAATAAATTCTATCCTGTTTTTCTTGCTGTATTCTAAATTTAAATAATATCAAAAGTCTACCCAGATGAATAAAAGTGCTCAAAAAGGAAAAATTCTGGCTCGACAGGCTCCATGATAACCATGATCCTGCTGTTCAGCTGCAGGTGTCTTCATCTCTATCAAAACTTCCCATATTCCCACTATCGCTAAAAACATCCTCAAACATAATGCAACAGAATATTCATAACGATAATCATTTCTAAGTTAAGGTAATAAGAAACTGGTCAAGAAAATATAGGCTGGGCACAGTGACTCACACCTGTAGTCCCAGCACCTTGGGAGGTCAAGGCAGGTGGATCCCTTCAGCCCAGGAGTTTTGAGACCAGCTTGGGCCACATGGGGAAACCCCATCTCTACAAAGCCAAAAAAGAAAAATTAGCCAGGCATGGTGGCATACATTACTCAGGAGGCTATGGTAGGATTGCTTGAGCCTGGATGCTTCAGGCTGCAGTGAGCTGTAATCACACCACTGCATTCCAGCCTGTGCCACAGAGTAAGACTCTGTCTCAAAAAAAGGAAAAGAAAATATGGATGCTCCAAAGATAAAGAAAAGTCTCAATCCAACTATATTATTGCAATAATAAGAGATTTCAGATTGTACATTGCCATTCCACCACTGGAAGTTTGTTTCATCTTTCCTCAAACTTGGAAAGGTCACCATCTCCCAAAGCTGACAAATTCTCATATGAAAAAGAGAAAACGCGCACTTCCACCAGGATGTGGCTTCATAAGGGCAAGCATGTGCGCCTGGCACGTAGGAGGTACATGCTATGTGTTAAATACATATGCGTTAAATAATGTGTTCACAATGACCAGGCCTGCTAGGCCCTTCCAAGGAACATGCTTGGCAAAGCCATAGAGCAGTCAGGATAAGATATATATCACATTCTTATCTCTGGGAACGTACCCTTTTCTGAAGTTATAGCTAACTTAGTAAAAGTATAAGAGACGTAACATGATACGACAAAATTTAACATGTTCCACTCAAGAAAACAACAAACACACGCATATCCCTCAGATGACAACAGCCACGCCAACCCTGTGTCTGTGGCGGCATCTCCTACCTGACACGATCGTCACAGGGCTTCTGATCTCGGTCAACTTCTGCCGGGTGAAGTTCCGAATGAGGCATTATATCAAAGTGCTCTTTCCAACTTTGGAAGCCCCGTCACCACTGCCACTATTGGTGGGGGCTCTAGTGAAGTTCAATCAACCACTGAAATATGATGCTTTTTTGTCTTCAAATCCAGAGTCCTATTCATTTAAAAAAAAAAAAAAGGAAAGGAAAAAGTAAACCAGTTTCAAAATAGAGTAAAAGGTATCAACCTTATAAGTAGATAAATTTTTAGTACACTTATACATATGAGTACTTTAGTATATTTTATAGAGTACAACAGACAATATATAAATATAATTAACTTGTCAATTATTAACTTCTAACCCCCCTATAAATAATTGCTGTTGGATAAAGATGTAACAAGATGACTTCAATAGTATAGAGAGCTGAAAATTAAACACTCCTTAAATCTGTTTTATGAATGATTTTCATAGTTTTTTAAAAACCAAAAGATAAATACCAAGGCAGTGCATCATAACAGATAAGAGCAGAGGCTCTGGAGTTAAATTTGGCTCTCCTACTTACTGGTTATATGATTAGAGGTCACTTGGCTTTTCTTGACCTCAGTTCTCTTCTCCATAGAAAGAGGGCAAGAATGCTTCCTACTCTGGTAAGGCTTCTGGAAGCATTTAGTTGAATAATGTTTAAAGTCCACTGCTAAGAATATCACAAGGACTCACTAAATAAAGCTATGTTAGTAATAAGTATTGTAACTTTTGTATTTTATATTACAATTTTGTAAAACATATCTGGGGGGGAAGCAAACCTATCACTATAGAAACAGTTTAAAGTTTAGGAACAAACAAATTCTATAAATTCTTGTATCTTGGGCAAGAAACACCAAGTGCAGATGCTGGAGGCAAGGCAGCTTCTATGGCAAAGCTTCTCACATTTTGGTAAAAGTCACACAGCATGCATCTCCATGTCCTTTGGAGCTGGACTAGACTTGTGAATCCAAATGTCACCTGTGAGAGGCTCCTACTATTTAAAAAGAATCAATAGAAGAAGGATCAGACTGTAGCTAAACATACCTGTGAAAAGATCAAGCCATCCGCACAGCAGATTGAACTGCAAAAGCTTTGGGATTTCTCTTCCGGGAATCTTTGTCTCCTAGCTGGAGATCCTGCAGATGCCGCTTCTTTTTCTTTGCAGCTTTGGGTCCATTGTTTTTCTTTCAGTGTTTCTTCTGGTCCTTAGTTTCCATAGTGTCTACTTACCAATAACAAGTAACTCTAACCTACAAGGAAGAAGGTTGGGGTAAGGAGGTGGGAGAAGCATTTTACAATCCAGGCAATACCCAGGGAAAAACATTAAATTTCATTTATTTCTTCATGAAGAGATGATGTATTTGTTCACTGAACAAGGGTAGAAACTGCTTAACCATCCCCAATTTCACTTATCTCTGTTATGCTATAAATTAGATGAGTTACCTCTGCTAAAGTTACATTTTATGGTTAAGTTACTTTTTATTCATCTTCAGTGTCAACATCAGCAGTATCTATTTCTCCAAGGATGGAAATATTCTATATCTGTACTTTTCAGTCATTTAGCCATTAGCCACGTGTGGTTACTTAAAATGTACTTAGAGAAACTGAAAAAATGAATTTTTAATTAATTTCATTCTAACTCTAAATAGTCACATGAGGCTACCACACTTGACAGCTCAGACCTAGATATCAACTAATGAAGTGGTTTCCTAACTTAAACTAAAACTTAAATTTTAATAAAAAATTTAAAATGCTTTTATGAACTTCCAATATGATCACAGTATTACTTTTAGTACCTGTTGACTCTGTAAAACTCCTAAATTACAACTCATCTACATACGTTTTAAAAATAGCAGTATCTGTATGTGCGAGATATGACTGGTTCTAGATGATGCCTGGAGACCCCATGGACTCACAGAGACCCTTCCAGTGATTTCTGAGATACCTGGGAATCTGTAACCAATAAATTGGTAATCACTGAATTCGTGAGTTTTTTAAGGATGTCCGGCTGCATAAAATCTGACAGCTTGATTGAAAAAAAAGTGGCGCAGGGTGGCATTTCATTCAATTAAGGTCCTGTATTAATTCTGCTTAGTAAATGTTTGGGTCTATCTATGATGCGCTAGCCACTGTGCCAGTAAATGGATATAGCTATGATCTGACTTGCAGAGGAAATCCAAACTAGTGTCTTCCGTGCCATGCAATAAGGGATACACTGCAAGGCTGCACAGGGTGCTACTGGAGCATAGAGGTGAGTCAGAGGCTTCCAAACAGACACACACACGAGCGGAAACAGAAAGTCTTTATGTATCACTATATGTCAAGGAACACTGGCCGGGAGTTAGGAGAGCTGGGCACTAGGAATGCTTTGAAACTGAATCGCTGTGTTATTTCAGAGGTTATGTTGCTTCTCTACTATATTTTAGTTCCGAACTTGTACTAATGTCTCCCTTTTCTTCTTCGTGGGAAAAGCACAATTTGGGGTCAACAGATTCCGTTCAGGTCTAAGTCGCCTGCCGGGACCACGTCGCCAGGAAACGACGTCTCCTCGACACCTTCCCTCCCAGTACCGGCTCTCTGCAGCAATTCATTCCGTCACTCTCCCAACAACCCCGGGCACACCTCCGGCAGATGCGAAATATGCTGCTCCTCAGGAGCAAAGATGACCCGGTGACCCGGGGGAGGGCCTTCCCACTCGCGATCTTCCCAGTGCCCCACAGCCAGGGACCCCACTGCCGCCTAGCCCAGCCCGCGCACCCAGCCTGTTCACAACTGCGACCCATCAGGTCCACTTGGACACCGCCGGAAACGGAAATTCACCGCCGCGCCGACCCTCCGGAGGGAAACAAAAAGGCAGAAAAAAAAAGACCGGCGCCTGGACGGCTTTCAGGGGAGAGCTGGAAGAAAGACTCGTGAACAGCTGAGTGCGGGCGTCGGCACCGTCTGCGCAGTGCGTTCCACCGGGTCCGCATCCCTCACGATTCCGCCCCACCCCGCCCTTGGAACCCGCTGCCTCAACTCCCGCGGTGGGACTCCGGAGCAGCGTACACCGTGCTCGCCTTAGTCCTTCCGAAAGGCCAGGGCAGCTGTGCGGCCTGGCGCGGGTTACTTGGTGCGGTGCAAAAAGCCAGAAGGAGACACATTTGGTCCTGGCCACCCCGGAGTCACCCAAACCAAAAGGTAAAAGAAACATAAAAAAGCCTTCTGGAAAGTGTAAAAAAAATTAATTGCAGAGTGATTTTTGTCGTGTCAAATCATAATTACTGTTATTAGCAGCTTTTTAAAACGTTTTATATTCATTTTTCATGGTTTTCTAACATATGAGCTGCTTCAAGTGTTTTTGGACATAGCTTGGGTGTAAAATGTAAGAAGGGGATATTTTCAATTTGTAGCTTTCTTTTTTGAAACTTACTGAAATTTGTTCCCCTTCTTTCTCACCCACCCCAACACATTTTTTTGAAAACCACCACCAGATATCCGTTACAGCACTGATGTGAGTGTAGATGAAGTAAAAACTTTGGCTTCTCTGATCACATACAAGTGTGCAGTGATTGGTAAGTGATCGCCTTTCTTATGAGAACTCTGGGGATGTGTTTACACATATGGTTACTGTTAAGATGCTATAGAAATATACCTTATTAGAACTGATATTTTTTAAGTCGTACTCTTTAAGACCTGCATCATTTTTCAATTATTCTAAATTAAAATTTAGTCTTTTTTTACGTGGGGGATTTTTTAAAATAGGAGCTAATTGCATTTTAAGTCTAGATCTTTGTTTTCAATTCCTTAACACATTCTGTAAATAAGACCAAATTATAGTAGAAGGATAGTAAATAACCTATTATCTTTTAGAAGTTGTAAAGACCACTGATTATATATGAGACCCCCGCCTCTGCCCCGGCTGCACGGGCCCCCGCCAAAGGGCCCATGGACTGCACAGCCGAGCTGGCGCCCTGAGCGCAGCGCGGTTCCCCCGGGGCGCCCCTGAGGGGAGCGCGAACGAGGTCCGGCACCTGTGCTAGGTCACTCCCAGCGCAGGGCCACACTTGGGCCATCCGAACAGCCCCTCCTCATTTCAGGGGTCACCCTCCCCACCACCCATTGGCCCACCGTGGCCGGAGACCAGCTCCCGAGGAAGGTGATGGACGCCAAGAAGCTGGGCAGCCTGCTGCGGAGCGGGCCTGGGGGGCCTGGTCATCGATAGCCGCTCCTTACTGGAGTACAACAGCTGGCATGTGCTCAGCTCCGTCAACATCTGCTGCTCCGAGCTGGTGAAGTGGCGGCTGCAGAAGGGCAAGGTGACCACTGTGGAGTTCATCCGGCCGGCCACACGCAGCCAGGTGGAGGCCACAGAGCCACAGGACGTGGTGGTCTATGACCAGAGCACACGGGACGCCAGCGTGCTGGCTGCATACAGCTTCCTCTCCATCCTGCTGAGCAAGCTGGACGGCTGCTTCGGGCAGCGTGGCCATCCTCGCAGGGGGCTTCGCCACCTTCTCCTCCTGCTTCCCTGGCCTCTGCCAGGGCAAGCCTGCTGCCCTGCTACCCATGAGCCTCTCCATCCCTGCCTGCCCCTGCCCAGCGTGGGCCTGACCTACATCCTGCCTCACCTCTACCTGGGCTCACCGAAAGACGTCCTGAACAAGGATCTGATGACGCAGAATGGAATAAGCTACGTCCTCAATGCCAGCAACTCCTGCCCCAAGCCTGACTTCATCTACCAGAGCCGCTGCATGCGGGTTCCCATCAACGACAACTACTATGAAAAGCTGCTGCTCTGGCTGGACAAGTCTGTCGACTTCATCTATAAACCCAAGCTGTCCAGCTGCCAAGTCATCGTCCCCTGTCTGGTCGGCATCTGCCACTGTGCAACCATCGCCATCGCCTATATCATGAAGACCATGGACATGTCCGCCAACGACGCCTACAGGTTCATGAAGTACCGGCGCCCGTCCGTCTCGCCCAGCTTCAACTTCCTGGGCCAGCTGCTGGAGTAGGAGCGCAGCCTGAAGCTGCCGGCCGCCCCCCGGGACGATGAGGGCACCCCCTCAGGGACGCCAGAGCCTCCGCCCAGCCCTGCGGCCCGGGACCCCGCTGCCACGGCTGCCACCACCTACCTCAGAGAGCGCTGCCACCGGGAGTGCGTCTCCCAGGGAGGGCTGCCCGAGCCCAGGCGGGGAGCCCCCACACCCCCAGCCACCAGCGCGCTGCAGCAGGGCCTGCGTGGCCTGCACCTCTTCTCAGACCGCCTACAGGATACCAACAGCTTCGAGCGCTCCTTCTCGCTGTACATCAAGTTAGCGAACACCCTCAGGCTGGTCCCCCGACCCCGGCGAGGCCCCGAAACTCTGGAAGCTGCACAGCCCGTCGGGGCCGCGCTGAGCCTGCCCTCGCCCAGCCCGGGCAGCCCACTGCCCCGCCGGCGGCCCCAGGCCCCAGTCCCCAGTGGGCTGTGCCTTCCGTCTGCGCTCCCCAGCGCACAGCCTGGGCCTGAACTTCAGCAACGAGGCCCGGCAGACTCCGCTGCACGGCCTCTAGGCCCTGTCTGCACCCAGGCTGCCCGGCCCTGGCCTGCTGGCGGGCCCCGAAGCCTCGACGCCACCGCTCGACTCCCCGGGCAAGCAGTCGCCCGACAGGCCCTGGTGCATCAGCCCCGAGGGCGCGCAGGGAGCAGGCAGAGTGCTGTTTGCGCCCTTAGGCAGGGCGGGCGCCCCGGGACCAGGGCAGGTCGCTGCTGCCGCGGGAGGCAGCAAGGACCGAGCCCCGGACGCTCTGACCGGTTGGCCCGATGAGCTGGTCCCGGCAGTTCAAGTGCCGCAGCTGCCAGATGGAGTTAGAGGAGGGCATCACGGAGGGGCGCGCGCGCGCAGCGAGGAGCTGGCTGCCCTGGGCAAGCAGGCGAGCTTCTCGGGCAGCGTGGAGGTCATCGAGGTGTCCTGACCCCTCCGCTGCCCTCGGCTCCGCCGCCCGCAGCCGGGCCCGTTACAAATATTTATTATATGTAATGCAAAGAAAGGTAAACGGTTTCACTGTGGTTTTTATCGAGAAGTAAATATTTCTATTGTTTATTTATTTAAGCTGTTCATTCTGGCAATGATTTGGCAACAGTGCAGGTGGTCCTCGAGCTCTATTTTTACTGTCTGGTATTTAAACTGAAACACACGTTTCTAAGCAATACAAGGCCACCTTCAGTCGCAAGCTGGGTGCCAGGCCTGGGGCCCCTTCCAGTCCCCCCGCCCCTGGAAACACTGCTGATGTTTGCATAGGCTGCCGAGCTTTCGTGCACTTTTTCACAAGAACAAGGTAAAAAAAGGAAAAAAAAAACCACACAAAAACGTATTTGCCACAAACTGAGCCACAGATCCCCCCTTCTTCTGCCACCCACCTCCCCTGCTCTCTCCTTTGGGGCTCTGCACCAAAGCCATAGGTTGGGGAAGCAGGAACTGGTGTGCCCCAGAGAGATGCGACCAGCCCTCTACCAGCTCCAAGCACCAAATCTTGATGGCAGGGAGGGCACCCCGCTGCCCGTTGCTCCAGAGCCGTTCCCTCTCGGGGGAGGACAGGCATTGGGCCCCATGGTGCCAGGGTGTTCAGAGGGGCTGAGGTATAGAACAGAGTGTGTAGGGGTTTGGGGCAGGGGCTTCTGGAGCATCAGATGAGGTAGAGCCCAGGGGAGGATGGGGTGTTAATGCCCCCGACTCCTGCCAGAGCCCCAGTCCAGCCACTGAGTGGCTCAGAAAGGCCATTCCCAGAGAGCTGCGGCCCTCCCTTCTCCTTTGCCCATGCCCCCAGAGCTGCCTGCCGGGCAGGGTGGCACCACTGCAGGAGAGGAGCTTGGCCTCGGGGGGTCAGGCAGGAGGGGCCTGGCTAGCCAGTGCTGGCTCCACTGGGCAGGGAGCCCTGGACCGCCAGGTATGAGGAGGCGGTGGGCTTAGGGTCCTGTTCCAGGTCTGTCCCCCACCTAGCAAGGCCCCAGGCAGGACTTGGAAATCAGGTGTGCACCTGCAGGCTGAGGGGCTCCATGAGCAGGTGCTGCCTCGCACAGGGAGTTCAGGTGCCAACCAAGCCCCTGTGCTTCTGGGGTAGACCTGCTTCACTTAGGGAGCGCTGCCTCAAGGCAGATAAAGCCCGCTTGTTTGCCCCGACCCGCATGGGGGCCTCTCAGGAGAGAAACTCTTGTGCGCCCCTTTCCCAGGGCACGCTCTCTCTAGGCAGCATGCCAGCCCCCAAATGGTGGCTTTTGGGCCCAAGTGGGTCAGCCTGCTGCCCCTGCCCCATACCCTCTCAGGCCGTTGGGACCCCTGCCCTTCAGATGTCCTAGGGTCTAGGACTGGGCCAGCCACCCTGGGAAGAGGCCAGGGCCTTGGCAGGAGGGGCACCCAGGCAGGACCCAGACCTAAGTCCAGGAGCAGGGCCAGGGAGGCGCCCGCCCGGGCCCGGCCAGCCGCCCTCTCTGTGGTTTCTTCTATTTGTTCTTCTTTTCACTCACAGCCCTGTGTTCCTGTCATCCCTCCTTTCAGCAAAAGTCCTGTTCCCTTTCCCTCTGTCCCAACCCACTCCTGTTCCCCAACAAAATAAGCTATCATTATTGTATTTGCAATCTATGGATTAGAGGTTGAAGTATTATTATTGCTTAATTATTATTATGTAAAAAAATATATATATATATGAACTTGGCTAGCCAATGTTATTGAACAATTCCTGTTCAATAAAATGTTGTTTAACGTACAGTTTAGAAAACGATGGTAGGTTTATTTCTTGAACTTTCAGAAATTCAAGCTTAAAGCATCACGTTTTTCTAAAATTGTGTGGTGCTTTCTGTCATTTTACTTTTGTAACCTTTATATGGAATAGCAACCATCAGTCTTCTCTTTCAGATGTGCCATTTGGGGGTGCTAAAGCTGGTGTTAAGATCAATCCCAAGAACTATACCGTAAGTATGAAAGTGATATTTGTTTTTTGTTGTTGTTGTTTTTATTGTTTTTTTGAGACAGAGTCTTGCTCTGTCGCCCAGGCTGGAGTGTAATGGTGCAGTCTCGGCTCACTGCAACCTCCGCCTCCTGGCTTCAAGCAATTCTCTTGTCTCAGCCTCCCAAGTAGCTGAGACTGCAGGCATGTGCCATCATGCCCAGCTGATTTTCATATTTTTAGTAGAAACAGAGTTTCGCCATGTTGGTCAGGCTGGTCTTGAACTCCTGACCTCAGGTGATCCACCCATCTCAGACTCCCAAAGTGCTGGGATTGCAGGCATGAGCCACAATGCCCGGCCTCCTACTATTTGTTATAGGAGCTTTTGCTAAACATACAACATTTCTGAAGATACTAATCTTCGTTTGCTTGATGTTTTTGTATCTTACTATTATCTGTGTTTATATGTTCTTTGTGTACGATCTGAGTATTCTTTTCTATGATATGTAAATATTTGTCATTTATCCTTTAATTTTCAAGCAGTTTAAACCTTTCTATATATTTTTTATCTAGAAGGCTTCTAATTTGTTTCAATAGAATATACATAATTACTTAATAGAATGCTTGCTCTATCAGTATAGTTAATAGAATGTTAATAGTTACTTAATAATAGAATGCCCTATCAGTATCAGTATAGTTAAACAAAATAAGGACGACTTAAATAGGAAATAAAGTGTATTTTTCTCTACTTTCCTTTTATCAGCATTTCCTCCACCATGGACAAGTTGCTATGAAATTAAACTATAAATGCTGGGCGTGGTGGCTTGTGCTTGTAATCCCAGCATTTTTGGAGGCTGAAGTGGGAGGATGGGAGCCTGGAAGTTCGAGACCACCCTGGGCAATATAGCAAGACCCCATCTCTGAAAAAAATGAAAACGTTATCCAAGCGTGATATTGCATGCCTGTGGTCCCAACTACTAAGATGGGAGGATCACTTAAGCCTGGGAGGTCGAGACTGCAGTGAGCTGTGATCGTGCCACTGCACTCTGGCCTGAGCAACAAAATTAGACCACATCTCAAGAAGAAAGAAAAGAAAGCTATTCAGATTCATTTTTAGGTAAAAAATGTCATGAAATGAATGTCGTGAAATAACCTAATATAGAAATACAGTAAGTATAGGTAACTCTAAAACTTGACTAGATTTGGCCTATCTTTCATAATAAAAGGCATTTGGGCCTTTGACATGCCACATCCCCAGCACTACTGTGAACTTGTGCATCATTGCACGGAGCCTGTTAACATAAGTTAACATGAGTTAAACTACCTCCCTCACACTTTTACAGGAATACTTACTGATTCTGAGATGTGGCAAATCGAAGTTATGTTCAGCCTGTTAATAGCCTTCATAATTTTTTTTTTTTTTTTTTTTTTTTTTTGAGACAGAGTCTCGCTCTGTCACCCAGGCTGGAGTGCAGTGGCCAGATCTCAGCTCACTGCAAGCTCCGCCTCCCGGGTTTAGCCATTCTCCTGGCTCAGCCTCCCGAGTAGCTGGGACTACAGGCACCCGCCACTTCGCCCAGCTAGTTTTTTGTATTTTTTTAGTAGAGACGGGGTTTCACCGTGTTAGCCAGGATGGTCTCGATCTCCTGACTTCGTGATCCGCCCGTCTCGGCCTCCCAAAGTGCTGGGATTACAGACTTGAGCCACCGCGCCCGGCCGCCTTCATAATTTTTATAAGGTCTTTCCTCTTCACCTAAATCTCAAACACACTTAACAATCTTGAATGGTTTCAGACTTTATTCAGTCATATTTATCGCCCATATCTGCAATATCTCCAGCTTAATTGTATCAGAATTGACAAGTACCTAATAATTCCAAAGGTCGAAAAGTGATTCCTTGGAATACTGAAAGAAAACACAGCTTAAACTCTAGTAATTTGATTTATTTGCTTAATGCGCAAAAGCCTCATTGACCCAGGATGCAGCTAAACTGACATCTGGGCCCAGACAGCATTGAAGCCTAGGAGGTAGGCAAAGGGAGTTTTTTCTCTCACTCCTAGGCAAACCTTCAAGTTTGATGTTATTTATCTGTTATTTCCTGACTGCCCTTTCCACAGAGAGTGTCAGATTGAGGGTCAGATCTGAGCCTGAGCCCTGATCCTGTCACATGTGTGTTTAGCATCAGCTTGTAAATTTCTGCAAAACAAAACGAAAAAAAAAAAAAGAGGCTGGGATTTTGATAGGAATTGCATTGAATCTGTACACCAATTTGTGGAGTATTGCCGTCTTCCCTACCCTCCCCTTTCACCCAGGCTGGAGTACCAGGCAGCAGTCACTGCAACCTTGACCTCCTGGGCTCAAGCAATCCTCTCACCTCACCCTCCCAAGTAGCTAGAACCACAGGCATGCGCAATTGCGCCTGGCTAATTTTTTAATTTTCTGTAGAGACAAGGTCTCATCGTGTACCCCAGACTGGTCTCAAACTCCTGAGCTCAAGCAGTCTTCCCACCTCAGCTTCCCCAAATTCTGGGATTATAGGCATGAGCCACTGCACTCAACCAGTATTGCCATCTTAACTATATTAAGCCTTCCAATGCTGAATATGAGATGTCTTTCCATTTATTTAGGTCTCTAATTTCTTTCAATGATGTTTTGTAGTTCTCACTGTAGAAGCCTTATGACTAAGTATTCTTTTTAATACTATTGTAAGTGACATTGATCTATGGTTTTCTTATGATGTCTTTGTCTAGTGTTTGTATCGGGACAATTCTAGCCTCATGGAATGAGTTGAGGAGTATTCCTTCCTCTTCTGTTTTTGGAAAAGCTTTTGAAAGGTCAATGTTCATTCTCTTGTGTGAGTGTAAGTATCACCTATGTAAAGTTCTGCAGGACCCTGATGTCTCTTCCCTTCTCATCCCCTTATATCTCTGTGCACCAGAATTACCCTTTCATCTCCTACTCTAGTCACATGCTGTTAGAAACGTTGCTTTTTTAAAAAAGATGAACTTCTGCCTCAGACCTGTTCTCTATATAAGAATTTACCTGTTAGGCCGGGCGCAGTGGCTCATGCCTGTAATCCCAGCACTTTGGGAGGCCGAGGTGGGTGGATTACCTGAGGTCAGGAGTTCGAGACCAGCCTGGCCAACATGGTGAAACCCCATCTCTACTAAAAATAGAAAAAATTAGCCAGGCATGGTGGCGGATACCTATAATCCCAGCTACTCAGGAGGCTGAGGGAGGAGAATTGCTTGAACCTGAAAGGCGGAGGTTGCAGTGAGCTGACATCATGCCATTGTACTCCAGCCTGGGCAACAAGAGTGAAACTCCATCTCAAAAAATAAAAATTAAAAAATAAATGATGTATCTGTTATTCAGGAACTACTTGTAATCTGTGCATCCCTATACATTAGTTTTGTATGGAGTAGAAAACTAGTAAGCCTAATAATTAATAGACTTGTGATTTTTGTTTTGGGTGGGTGAAGCTGTTTCATGTTTAGCATGTATAGACTGCTTTTAAGAAGGGTTTTATCGGCCGGGCGCGGTGGCTCAAGCCTGTAATCCCAGCACTTTGGGAGGCCGAGACAGGCGGATCACAAGGTCAGGAGATCGAGACCATCCTGGCTAACATGGTGAAACCCCGTCTCCACTGAAAATACAAAAAACTAGCCAGGCGAGGTGGCGGGCGCCTGTAGTCCCGGCTGCTCGGGAGGCTGAGGCAGGAGAATGGCGTAAACCCGGGAGGCGGAGCTTGCAGTGAGCTGAGATCCGGCCACTGCACTCCGGCCTGGGCGACAGAGTGAGACTCCATCTCAAAAAAAAAAAAAAAAAAAAAAGGGTTTTATCATTATATGTTTCTGATTTACAAACTGTGCTTCAGACTTGCCACTTGCCAGAGCCTTTCTCCAGTTGGAATTGTTTTTTGTTTTTTTTGTTTTTCAGACAGTCTCACTCTGTCACCAGGCTGGAGTGCAGTGGTGTGATCTCGACTCACTGCCAACATCCGCCTCCCTGGTTCAAGCAATTCTCCTGCCTCAGCCTCCCGAATAGCTGGGACTACAGGCGCGCGCCACCACACCCAGCTAATTTTTGTACTTTTAGTAGAGACGGGTTTTCACCATGTTGGCCAGGATGGTCTCGATCTCTTGACCTCATGATCCGCCCACCTTGGCCTCTCAAAGTGCTGAGATTACAGGTGTGAGCCACTACGCCCAGCCAGTTTTTTGTTTTTTAAATATACTGTTTAATCAAGATGGGATCTCACTATGTTGCCCAGGCTTGTCTCAAATTCCTGGGCTCAAGCCATCCTCCTCCCTCAGCCTCCCAAAGTGCTGGGATTATAGGCATAAGCCACTGCCCTGGCCTAGTTGGAATTGTTGTTTGAGGTAACAAGCTTATTGAATCCTAAAGCAAGCATAATACCTTTGTAGATACCTGTAGAAAGATTCAGGACCAATTTGTCATTTGTACATTGGGAGAAAAGGAGTGATTAAACAAAGTTGTACTGACCTCCAGCAGAGTTATGTCACTAAAGGAATGGAAAGTGAGCAAATAGGAGCTGGAGAGCACCAGAGAGCCCTTTTATCAGTGGATGAGGCTAGAATATGGCATTAATCTTTCCAAGTGCTGTGTGGGGTTAGACTTCTCATGAAGGATAGGTTTGGGTAGGTTAGACTTCATGAGATTCTTTTTTTTAAGTCTTTTGTTGTCGTTGTTGACTTCATGAGATTTTTAAGGTGACTAAGGGAAAGGGTGCTAAGACTTAGAGTTACAGATTAGGTGGGAGGTGGAGAAGGTTGGGGTATAAAAAGCAATCCTTGACCATTTCAAAGTTGTCTTATACCAGCCCTGTATCCATTACATCACAACTTGTTCAAAGAAGTTGATTATCTAGGCCTTGGGCCCCTGAGTTAAAGAAAAAACATTATAATATACTGATTCTGTCCATGAAAAAGTAAAATTCATAGTAAGAATTGGGTACAGCCCTTAGAAAGAACTTTAATTATTTTATGGAAGGACATAATAGTTTAACCTTTTTCTTTGAGACAGGGTCTTGCTCTATCACCCAGGCTGGAGTGCAGTGGCATGATCTCGGCTCACTGCAACCTCTGCCTCCAGAGTTCAAGTGATTCTCCTGCCTTAGCCTCCTGAGTAACTGGGATTACAGGCACTTGCCACCATGCCCAGTTAATTTTTGTATTTTTAGTAGAGACAGGGTTTCACCATGTTGGTCAGGCTGGTCTCGAACTCCTGACCTCGTGATCTGGCCTCCTCACCCTCCCTAAGTGCTGGGATTACAGGCGTGAGCCACAGTGCCCAGCCTAATAGTTTAACCATTTTTAAAGTTGTGTTTTTCTTTTTGTAAAGATGAGTTTGTATTGTACAATTGAAGTAATATAGAAAGTTACAAACAATATATATATGGGGGCAGAGAGAAAGGGGAAGAGAAAGAAAATTGTAAGTGGGAACATGTTATACATGCTGTATGAAACCTGCCTTTTTCCATATGTATGTTCGTGATAATTCCAAGTAATTTACATGGATATAAGTTACCCTTTCTAATGGCTGTTTAGTACTTTGCATAGGTATACCATAGTTCATTTAATTGATGTACAAGATAATTAGGTTGTTTTTATTTTTACTATGTTTGAGAGGAGTATTTCTGCACCTTTACAGATTTGAGTGAGCATCACTTAACATGTTTTTATCAGAGATCTTACTGTAGCCGTCAGTAGTAGTGCAGTCAGTGATTCCTGTTATTGCCTGTAAGCTAATTTGTTAGCCTAAAACTTTAATTTGCTATGATCTGGGGAACTGAAAGCTAAGGGCTAAAATTTTATATGTGCTGAGTGTCGAATAATAGGTCAAAGCCACGTTCTTCCACAAGTAAAATAATATAGGGCTTAACACAATTGCTTTAGCAATGTGACTCTCTCCCCTTTTTCTCTACTTGGTAAGGAGGGCTTATACCCCCACTAAACGGCATGTTACTGTGCTGTCTCATACATGTCAACTCCCTAACCATAATAATCCTGCTTATATGGAACACAACGGTACTGTTATCTCTAATTGCATGTTAGTGAAGTGAGGTCAAGAGAAGCTAAACTGATTATCCTCTGGTCACACTCAGAAATCCTATGGAGTGGCTTGTATCTGTTGTACATAGCTAACTTCCAAACATATAGCAAGTAAATGCCAGTGGGAGAAATTATTAGGTAATGTCGTATGTGTCTAAGTTTCATAGTGAAACATTTAATGAATATTTCTATGACTTTGATTAGTTACCTAAATGAGATCTAAAGTTTTCTAGCCATGGTAACTTGGTTATTACAGAGACTTGCAAGGATCTTTGTGTTCGAGAAGAATTTTTCTTAAAAACTGGTGCACTGCTCTTTCCCTGTGTCCCCAGGTCCTGGCATTGATGTGCCTGCCCCAGACATGAGCACAGGTGAGCGGGAGATGTCCTGGATCGCCGATACCTATGCCAGCACCATAGGGCACTATGTGAGTACCCACCGGCAGCCCCGAGGCTTCTGCATTTGCTGTCTACAAGAATTAACAGTTTGACTGATTATATCAGAATCCCTGGGCTTTTCTCTCATTCAATCATAATCTTGATGTGCATATTATTTTATGTCTACTTGTCTGTTCTTAAATCGTAACGAACACAAATGGTGCTTTACTTATATGCTGCCCTATACTTGTCACTGGGAAAGGACACTTACTGACCAGGGCAGCCCACTCTTTATGCTAAGACACTAGAACATACATCAAGAAGCATCCAATTCTGATTTTTCCCTCAGAGGGCTTCCATTTAAAGAGGGACTAAGGCGCATAAGCAGATAAGATATGGAAATAATGTAATACAACGGTGGAGATTATGAATTCTGAAATAAGACTTTCTAGAGGAGATATTTGGGCTAGACCTTGAAAATGGGTAGAATATGAACATTTAGAGATCTGGAGGATAAGAGGAAGAGAAACAATAGAATTCAGATTGTCTGAAGGTAAGGCATATTTATAAAGGTAATAGAAAGTAAGAGTGAAGGCTGGATGCAGTGGCTCGTTCTCGTAATCCCAGCACTTTGGGAGGCCAAGGCAGGTGGATCACTTGAGCCCAGGAGTTGGAGACCAGTCCAGACAACATGGGGAAACCTTGTCTCTCCAAAAAAATACAAAAATTAGCCAAGCGTGGTGGTATACACCTATAATCCCAGCTACCTGGGAGGCACGCTTGAGCCTGGGAGGTTGAGGCTTCTGTGAGCCGTGGTTGCGCCACTGCACTCCAGCCTGAGCAATAGAGAGAGACCCTTTCTCAAAAAAATAAAGAAAGTAAGAATGAAGAGGTAAATGAACCACGACAAAAACACCAAGCACCAGTGTTTGTGTTTTACGTGTAGTCAGTGGAGAAACTGCTGATCCTTCCTGGGGAAGAGTAGGCTGGCAGCAGTGTCCAGCTGTGCTGGCGCCAGGAGAGAATCTCCTGTGGTGTCAGCGCCTTTCCACCGAGCCCAGGAGCCAGAGGACCAGGAGAGGAGCATTGGCACATGTGAGGCGCGTGACAGAGAGACTCAGCAAAACTGGATTGGATACATGTGGAATTAAGGAAAGGGACCAGGTTGAGTCACAGAGAACCAGGAGAACCTGAGTCTGGGGACTGAGCAGAGGTAGTACCACAGAACTGAACATGAGAGGAAACATAACTCCTGTCCCTGAAAGGGGTGCAACCTTAAACGATGAAACATTTGAGGAATAGGAAGAGAAATGGAGTCAAAAAATACATTTATGCCTACTACATGCAGGGCCACGGGTAAGCAGGTATTCACTACAACTGGGACAAATTGCTGCAAGTTGTTTTGAAGCTATAAAAAAGAATAACAGGCCCAACCAGTCCTTTCGATCTTTTCAAGGTAAGGTCAGAAAAGGCCTCCTAGGAGATACAGCCTTCTGGTCTGCACTCAGACGGGTGTGTGGGCATGGACTAGGGGAGGGGTTGTGGCAAGTGTTTGGAACAGAAGGAAGTACCTGAGGGAAGGTTCTGAAGTTCAGAAGCTGGGTGAACTTGGGAGGCTAAGGACTGACTATTGTGGCCAGAGCTGAGAAAGAGAAAGGTGGTATAAGAAAGGCCAGTAGAAACAAGGGTCAGGCCAGGTTACTGCTTGGTAGGTGGCTGTCAGAACTTTGGTCTTTGTCCTGAAAACACAGGGAAACCAACAAAGAGCTGGTTTCAAGCAGGTGTGACTCAGCTAAGTGTGCATTTGAAGACTTGAGGGCAGGAGACTACTACAGGGGCCCAGACTGCAAGGGGATATGAAGAGGGAAGCAGGGCATGAAGTATAGCCTCCAACTAAGAAAAATGGCACTGGAGAGAAGCAGAAAGAAGACAGCTTGAAAAGTGGCCGTTACCCAAAGAAAAAGGTTTTTGTTGTCTTTTGGCATGTGTACTGGCTGTGAGCCACAGATTCACTGGTGCAAGAGAGAGACAATGCTGAAGAGATGCAGGGTGGTAGAGGTAGTGAAGTCCCCCAGGGGAATAAAAGCCTGGGGAATTCTTTTCATAGTGAAAAGACGGGCCTTGGAGAAGAGGAAGAATGTGGAAAGGGGGACATTTCCTGAGGTGATGTCATGCCGTGGCTGGGAACATGGGCAGACCACCTGAAGTCCAATCCTGGCACCTTCACCCATCAGTTCTGTGACCTGGAAGTCTTTGTGCCTCCATTTCCTCCTATGCAAAATGACAGTAATAGTGGTACCTACTTTGTGAGACTCATATAAGGATTAGGTGAATAATAATCTAATGCACTTAGAACTGTACATAGCCCTTAGTAAGTACCAGAAAATAAATATCTATAGGTATTACATCAGGTAAGTTATGCAACTCCCTGAAATAAAATAGGAACAATATTAGACACTTCAAACAATTGTGGTTTCAACTGCCCCTCCCAAAAAGGACAGTTTTCTACCTGTCACCTTTTTATGCTTCCTTCCCTTAGGCCTTGATTTTAAATTTCTTATCACTTAAAGAAGGAAAATTGCTCACCAGTAGAGTTCAAGGGGCCGTGCTTCACAAGACTTTATCTTGCTGTTAGCACTGAGAATCAGCTACAAATAACAACATACTGCCCACTGGTTTGCACTATTCAGTGTAGTGTCTTGCTTAAAAACAAGACCCACCTCGACCTCCCAAAGTGCTGGGATTACAGGCGTAAGTCACTGCGCCCAGCCGGTCTCTTGTTCTTTTTAAGCAAGATACTATGTTGAATAGTGCAAACCAGTGGACGGTATGTTATTTGTAGCTCATTCTCAGTGCTAACAGCAAAAGAAGGTCTTGTGAAGCACTACCGCTTGAACTATACTGGTGAATAGTTTTCCTTCTTTAAGTGATAAGAAATCTAAAATCAAGGCCAACGGGAAGGATTCAGTTGTTTTTGTTACTCATTTCTAGATGTCAACTGGAACGTGCCGCCCTCTTTCTCCTAGCCCCACCTACAAGTGCAGTGTTGGTGGGAGATTGCATTCTTCTCTGGGCTTTCAGTGCCATTACATATGCTGGGGAGCCTGGCAGTTGGCGCCAGGCCTGACCCCAGACAGTATTTCCTTCAGCTCCAGCATTTACACTCTCACTGTTGAAAAACATTTGGCACTCGGTTTGCATTTCTGTATTCATGAGTGTTAATTATTCACGAAAGCAAACTGTGGGAAAACTACTAATTCTATAAAACACTTTACTGGACTGCATTTTTCGTCCTTGCTTTCATCCTTTTTGTTGGTAATTATACAAATAATATAATTCTAATTTCTCTCTGTAAAATATGTAAACAATACAGATAAAGAACAGATCACTTTTTAACTCAGCCAGGTGTAACGTTAGTGATATGCTGGAAGTTAGGGGTTTGGTGTGAAGTAAGGCATTTTATTTTGTTTACATGGATAGCAAATTGCTTCAACAGGTTTATTGAGTATTTCATACTTTTGCCACTGACTTAAAATTTTATATGATTTTTCATTTTATATTAATTGCCTATATGAAATAAGACTGTCTCTAGTTTCTCCTGCTTCACTGATGAGTTTACTCTGCAGTGTTCTGGTGGCCATGTTTATAGTATATTTGATGCCTTGGAAGGGAAACCCTCCTGAGCCCTATTCTTCCTTTTTCTAATTACACGTGTTTTTGAACAAGAATATACACACAAAGAGGACAGAAAGATGGGTGGTGAAGACTGCTAACCCCATCTTCACTTTGCAGAGCTAACCACTGCTACCAAAGATACTCTACTCACACAGAAGCACAGGACTCTCACCCACACGTACCTTTCTAAAAATATTTCATTAAATACTTTCGTTAGTCTACTCTTAGATGAACTTCAATATCATGTTATATTAAGTATCAAGTTATATTAAAAACTTCCTTTTTAACAAGTGGCAGAATACAACATTGAGTCTTCCCATCCAAGAAAATTGTAAAGCCTCTTCCTGTCTCAGGCTCTGTTTTGGTGACATGCTCAAGTCTTATACTAGATTTTGAGACACTCGTGAATGAGATGTATATGTACCTTGATTTAGTAGAGCTTAAATACTTGTTGAAGGAATGATAGCTTTTAGGCTAAGCTAGCTCTACTTTTGTGATGTTATTTGTACTTACTTGATGTTCAATCCCTACACTCTGTTTCTTCTGTCAGAAAATATAGTCTACTTTGCCGGGCGTGGTGCCTCACGCCTGTAATCCCAGCACTTTGGGAGGCTGAGGTGGGTGGATCACCTTTGGTCAGGAATTCAAGACCAGCCTGACCAATATGGAGAAACCCCGTATCTACTAAAATTACAAAATTAGCTGGGCGTGGTGGCACATGCCTGCAATCCCAGCTACTCAGGAGACTGAGGCAGAAGAATTGCTTCAACCCTGGAGGCAGAGGTTGCGGTGAGCCAAGATAGCGCCATTGCACTCCAGCCTGGGCAACAAGAGTGAAACTCTGTCTCGGGAAAAAAAACAAAAAAAACAAAAATATAGTCTATTTCATTGTATTTTCTAGGAACAGAAAGCTGAAAAAGTGAGTGTTGTCTCTATTGGTAAAAGTGTACCTTAAATACATTCATACACACACACTCCTCATTAGCATTAAATGAGAATGTGCTTTGACTTTAATTCGTTGTATTCGTTCAACAGAGAAATTGGACTTGACATTTCATTCTTTCAATTACTCCCTCTTACAGGATATTAATGCACATGCCTGTGTTACTGGTAAACCCATCAGCCAAGGGGGTATCCATGGACGCATCTCTGCTACTGGCCACGTCTTACTAAAAACTACGGAAAATTGTCTGTGTGTGTGACATGCCTGTAATCCCAGCTACTTGGGAGGATGAGGCAGGAGAATCGCTTGAACCTGGGAGAGGGAAGTTGCAGTGAGCCGGAGATCGCGTCCATGCACTCCAGCTTGGACAGAGCGAGACTGCATCTCAATCAATCAATCAATAAATGGCAGTGGTATTAAATAACACCACTAGGTCTCCAACCTTGATGATCAGATGTCCCATGTTGTGAAAAGGGAGTCACTAATTTGGAGAAATACAACTTTTTTTTTTTTGAGACTGAGTCTCATTCTGTCACATGGGCTGGATGCAATGGCACAATCTCAGCTCACTGCAGCCTCTGCCTCCAGGGTATCAGGATTCTCCTGCCTTAGCCTCCTGAGTAGCTGGGATTACAGTCACCGCCATCATGCCCGGCTAAATTTTCGATTTTTAGTAGAGATGGGGTTTCACCATGTTGGCCAGGCTGGTCTCGAACGCCTGGCCTCAAGTGATCCACCTGCCTTGGGCTGCCCAAAGTGCTGGAATACAGGCATGAGCCACTGTGCCCAGCCAAACTTCTATCTCAAAAGTAATTCCAACTTATTAAGATTATCCTAAGTAAAATACATGTTACATATCAAACAAATTGGGTCAATGTGTAACCTTTCTATAATACTTACAAAACTTAGAAAATCATGTTAAGAGACTTGCCCTTCTAGATACAATTTCAGGTTTGAATACTGACCAATATTTTGGTTGAATTTGGTGATAGTTGGTAATAGTTTTCACATGTACTTGAGAGATACTTAAATCAGTCTAGTTACATGATCATACTAAGGTTCAAAAAAACAAAAGATTATTCTCCTGAAAACCAACACTCTAAAAATTTTAAGAGATTTCGAGATAACTGAATTTTAAAAGTACAATTCCTAAAAACTTTACTTAATGTCTATCAGCGTTATTAAGGGAAATTTTTTTTTTTTTTTTTAACCTGAATAACAAATGTTTTATCTCCAAACCCCTGATGTCATCTCCTAAAATGCTCATGATGAAGTTTCACTGATGAAGTTTTCAATCCCATGGAAGACACTACG